TAAAAAAACAATGACTTGAAATGAGAATCAACTCCATGTTATGCATTTGTTTCGGATATTTCTGCGACTTAACCAAACAACGCAAACACTTTTAGTGGCAATTTTCAGTATGATCCGATTATGAGCGAAGATATAGGTTCGGTGAATCGCGAAGGACAACTTGAACAAAGTCACTCGTTGAGCAAACTAATCATGCAGCATTTCAATGAAGTATTCTCAACTCGTCATGCTCTCTGAATTTTTTCTGAACCTTCATCAAATGATGCACTTTTTGGGAAATTCGCTGCTTAAGCCTAATGTCAAAACAATGCGTGACGCATCTTCGATACTCCTCGCTTTCATCGTTAATAAATATTAGTGCATTCTCTTGTTAATTTCGTTTCGTTCCACTAAATCGTAACGATAAAATGTTTTCAAGTTCTTCTGTTTTTGTCTTCGTTGCAATGGATCAATGAGATAAACGAAAACGACATTAAACTTTTAGCCATTAATCGCGTTACGTCTCTCCACCACCACCGCCATTAGCACCAAAAAATGACCTGCCTGCATCGCAACGCAACTGTTTTTGAGAGCAGGAGAACGAACCGTGAGCAAATTTGTTTTCAGCTCAAAAATAACAGCTGGGTTAGCTCTGGTTAGCACACTGTTACAACAGAATACATATAAACAAACCATGAAAGCTAATGCTGATTTAGATTGCGAATAAGTGATTGGACCGACCTAATATTAATCATAGATTGCGGTGGAACTGATGAATTCACAGTTGCGATACGATGCACCGCTACCGATTATCATTAAAAACAACAAAACTGCAACGCAAGCACTGGTTCGCGCATCAGCGAAATGAGAACAAGATTTATACGAGTTTAAAACACAAAAAATTGTCGAGAAAGAAAAACGTATGAAAGTGATGCGCATAGGAGAGCGTAAACGAGATAGATTACTGATAAATCATTACTTGCGATCATTAATCGTCACTCGTTCAGCCTCTATTGTCGCTTCTCAACAACAACAACAAAAGAAAACAAACGCTGTGTATCGCCCATACAAAAATACGCGTCGAATTTGTTTTGACATTCAAACCGAAACAAATTTCTACTGCCACTATTGCGTTTTTTGGGGTGGTTGGCTTTTGAAAATGCAAACAGAGAAATCAATAGTCGAAATGACCAATGCCTGGGCAATCACACACAACGCACATTACTCACATCGGTCGTTCATTCGACTCCTAAAGAAATGACGAAAACAGCCGAACGAGATCATCGTATTTTAACTCGCTCAACAAAATAAAAATAAACAAAAATACGTAAGTTCAACAATGAAAATAAACCGTTAAGAAAAATCGAAATCAGTCAAGAACAATATTTCAAAAAATTATGAAACAGCGTTTCTTCTGTCAATTTTACGCCGTCAACTTTTCAGACTTTTTTTTCTTTGTGAAATTATTCTTATCAAAATTCATACGTAACACTAACCTTCAACACTATCAAATAAACTCATTACAAACGTATTGAAACAACCAGCCGTTCCTATTAATTAGCAAGTGCTTACGCTGAGATTCACAAAAAGTAGAATTTCGAATAACGAAACCGCTTAAAAAGCAAACCATTTTCTGATCAACTCGGTTAATTTTAATCGCATGAAACAAAGTTGTTTGTCAGTATAATTGCGAATGATCGCTTTCAAAAATGAAATCATAACAAAATACGCACATAAATCATCGCTTGAAACGGCATTTCACAACATTCACAACACCAGTCTCTCCACGCCTTTCTGAATTTGTTATTGAAAGAATGTCAACCATCAAAAAGTATTGCATTCAAGCGCGGGCATATCGAATATTGCCTTCACGGAGGGAAATTTTCAACTAAAATTTTGATAATTTCCTTCTTAACGAGATAAACTCATGACAAATCAAAACAACTTAATACAACAAATAAAATCATTCACAAAATGTATGTTATAGACAAAGGGAGAGAATCAGCTGTATTTACGCATCACCTCTCTCTCATTTTGTAGCGCTATTATTCGATAAGTAATCTCATTTCATCACTGAGCCCAATGTGAACGCTGCGCAGCGCTCGTCCAGTTGGTTTGTACGGATGGTGAATAGTAGGGTGGTGCGCCATTAGGATTACCGCCACCGGGAGCACCATAACCCCCACCTCCTCCACCGAAGGCACCGCTATTCGCAGCAGCCACAGCATCTGGACCAGGTACTGGCGTTGGAGGTGCGCCTCCCGCGCCACGTTGTCGAAACAATGCGTACAAATCCTCATATCGTTCACGCTCACGTTGCAACTCTCGCTTTAAGCCTTCGTTCTCTTTCGCCAACTCTGCATTTTTGCGTTCCAACTCACGCGCATAATCCTGACTCGCTGCTGCTGCCTCTACTGCTTCGAATCGTGCACGCTTCACGCCTGCTGCAGCTATCATTGCGTCATATGATTCACTGCCGCCACCGTATGGAAGCGGGCGCCTGGGCGTACCTCCTGCACCATACGGTGCCGAGTAGCCGTACGGTGGTGGCATCGCTGGCATACCACCTGCACCACGCATATGAACAGGACCTAGAGGAAGACCGCGCTGATGACGGCGTCTACGTTCGCGCTCCTCTTCAACATTCACATGCCAATAGCGACAACGCGATGAGCCGCGAGAGCAAATGCCCGTTTGAAATTCTTTGCAGAAAGGGATTCCGTTGATCGTATCGCCCGTATGTACCGCAGCGATTGCACGCGCCAAGTTTAGTGTTACTTCACCAGTTGATTTATAGCGTTCAACATCATCACGATGAGCATGAATGAATCGACAATTCTCGCGATGACAGCCGCGGTTCTGAAACAAAACGAGCGCATCTAGCACTGTTGCCAAAATAGAATGCATCTTTTTCATCAACAAATCATCTTTTCCAACGCACTAACGCTCTCTATGCTCTTGCACTACGGAATTCAAAACTACCCTTTCATTTAAACTGTTTTTGTGTTAGCGTACAGCAAAAAGCGAATAGTATCCAGTATTCATTCTACTTTGAAAACTGCGGTGAAGCTGACCTAACGTGACGTAACCATTAAAACGCACATCCAATTCAGGAACAATTTTGGATGCGAGAGCGCAATCAAATAAATTCAATCTCACCTGAAAATCGATACAGAAATTGAATTCCTGCTTTGATCCTGACGAGTCTTGTGCCCGTTCACGTTCCACTTCTTCTGGATGATAGAATTTGCATCGCGAGCCACGATTGCAAATATTTTTCAGGAAATCTCTGAAAACAAAAACATTGCGAAAATTTACCGCAAGTAATATACCAGAGATCTATTCTTGCTGTTGGCAAGAATGACAGCACATCTGAAGACATAAAGTAATTCGAAAAATAAAAAATTCACAGAAGTACCAGATGGAAACTGAGCTGAAGTGAATCAGCACAAACAATGCGGAAAACTTCCCAACTGAATGCCGTTCTGACTTAACCTTTCAAACGGTTTGATTTTTGATTTTCAAATGATTTTTGTTTGCTTTCAGCATTTTTGACGGAGCAATAATCATCCGAAATCATCTATGTTAGGAGATTGTGATTACCTATTCGATAGAACAATCGAGCATAGAAACAATCTGCGGGACAGATAAAGCAATTAACAATATCTACCACTTAAACAGGAATTTGAAAGAGAAGTGGCCGCGAACCTGCAAACGTCGTCTCTTTCTGCTCCATTCTTTTTCATATCGGAATTTTCTTTCTTTATATCAGGCTTAATATCTGTCATATCCTGGCAAACAGAGACCTGAAGAAAGCAAGAAGAGACCTGAAAACCAAAAAAAACTGACATGACTCGATTGAATAACATGAAAACATTTTCGAAGAATGCGATGCATTTCCTAATTCAACGACACGTTCACTTAATCATTTGGTAACAACAAACGTGGAAAAAAATATAAAACACATCTGTTTAACAGCAGATTAAAGCAGCACATTTACGGACGCAACAAAGCTTTTTTGTGCTTATATGCCAAAAAATCAAGAAATTCAAAGCCTTCTTATAAACCTATAAGTAAACTACACCAAATGCACAAGCACCCGGTAAACTATCTAAATTGGTCTCTGTGATAAAAATGAAACACTGATAAAAACAGTTATTCAATATCGATGGAAGAAAACTGGAATAACATTTAATGGATTACTTGACAATTCACCTACATTAAAGAAAAAAGAACGCGTCTCTGTGATGAGCAAATGCCAAAAAATGTTACAGTTATAGAATGAGAGGAACGAGGCAAATTGCTCGTTAGAAGACACTGATGTAGTGCAACAGCGCAAAACTATGACTGGAAAACTGGCATTTGACGCGTTGGCGAGTTCGATTCAGAAGGAATTAAGTATTGTGTGCAGTCGTCTAAAGGCGTGAGCATCTTGTTTTGGCTTCGTACACCGAGCTGATGTACCGTCATCATTAGAATCACCAATAACCACAAGATAAGGTTCTCGATTGAGATGGCACGCTTATCGGCCAAATTTCCTTGCCATTCATTCAGAATAACAACACATCAATTGTCAACGCATGGCTGTGACACTTCCGATTAAAGCTTGGTGAAATTTAAAGGGCGAAGAAACTTAACCATCGGGCTCATTTGAGTTTTTGAAACCGTTTCAAATATGATACATATGATTAGAGCATCGAGACCGTACAGAAACCACCCTGATGCAGTTTAGCCATATCCACTGGAATCAGGATCATACTCTGACTTGGCCTTATCACTAGGCTAGCGCTGAGGTTTATGCTTAAGGTGACACTCAGGTGAGGATGTGCTAAACTGATCCAGATGACTCCCACAGTTTGCTGTGGTTTTGTCCATAGCATGCCTTCGAGAGGATGAGTGTGTCCTTACGACTTACGAGATGAAATAACTCCCAGCATGCAGAAAACCAAAAAGTCCTTCATAATTCGACACTGACAAACTACAATAAGTAGCTGTTTACATTATTTCGTCTTCTGAGATGAATTTTCGTGATTGGCCGATCCCGTTCATCATAACGATAAATTTGAAAATATCGACCAGAAGAATTGATTTGACCTAATTAAATGATATGGAACCCGCTCGAGCCCATAGCCAGAACTTCAAAGTCAGGGAGGCTATTTTAATTTTTTCAGGGGGGGGGGGGNNNCTTTAATTCTAGGGCTAGCGATAAAAACGTTCGTCGCCCGTCCTGTTCATAAAACCATCCATGGTATATGATGAAACTGGACGTCGAAAAAATTCGAGAGGAGGGAAGCTGATTGAAGAGGGTTCGATTTGGACAGTTATTCCTCCACCGCGTAGCCAACCGTGGCAATGGGCACGGAACAACTCCTTTGAATTCGTTTTAATTGTCGGCTATGTATGCTGAATGCGATTGATTCTGATAATGACAAAATGAAAATTTTCCTTTCAAATCTTCACATGTAATTTTACTCAAACCGAACTGATTTGTTGACTGAAATGCAGAAGTGCATTTGAATCGTGGTATTTACACTTTATGGCTACGATTATGCAGGAAAATAAGAGAATTTTAAATGTGAATTTGAGTGAGTTTAAAATCTTGCAGATTATTTTCAGGAAAGTGTTGTTTTGTTAACTGTAAATATTGTTTATTCAGTTTGCAGGAATATCATGTTATGCTAGAAAATCTAGCAATCGTTCCTTGAATATCACCATAAGGCGTACTCTTTTGCAATCGATCCATTGCACATGTATGATAAAGAAACGACTGAAGATGGGAATTAATTAAAATAATTCCCACACAAACGACCACTCAACTTCGTTTTCACCGCAGTTTCATCTATTCTCCTTCATCGATATCTTTCCTCTTAATAAGCAGCGTTTACGAATGCATTACGGCAAGTATTCGAATTAATATGAAATGAAAGTTGTTGATTTACGTTTGTCGATTTATGGGCAGGAAAACGAGTGAGCATAAATCAATGGAATGAAGTTCTTGTTAAGAACCATATGGTTATTACACCACAATATTTTTATTTCGGTTATCTTCATCTCATTTATGAGATATTCACTTTCATTTCGAAAGACATGCCTCATTTAACGATCTTGGCACGCTGATCACTCACATTAGCTGAAGCCATAGAAGTGATGTCATATTCATGTTATTGCAACAGAAATGCAGATCATTGACCTAATTAAGCCGATTACACTAGTTTAGATCTTTCATAATTCCCATCAAATAGATCGAAAAATGAGATGCGATTTGATTACTTTCCCCATCCAAAAATAGATTCCTTGATATGAATTATCCGACCAGTTTAGGATGCTGTTTTGATGTTGTCTGCACTGTTGTGTTTTTTTTTGTTCATTCTTTCTCACTTTGAAGTTCCGTTTGAGCGTCGTTTGTGTCATCTTCGTATTATCCATTTTATCAAGAATGGGTCTTATCAGTGATACTTCTCATCAGAGGACTTATACCGAATTTCGAAAAAGAGCCATCTAATGCATGTGTTACTTAGACAAGGAATATTGGTAGAATATGAAACTGCAATAAATCTAAATGCAGAATTCTGGACTATTCGATGATGCATTATCCCTCATGGCATCAGTCAGTTATATACATAAATTTTGACTTTCCACAACATCCAAACCAGCTTCTCATGAAACATATTATCCAAAATCCCAATTGCAACTCGATAATCCACTAGTTTGAAAAGCATGAAAGTTTCAGTATGAATATGGAAATTTCCACCGAAAACTTCATTATGTATGTATTGTTGTTTAACGATCCGAATATATGCAGATGATTTGTAATGCTTTCTAGCAACATTTCATAATTTTCATAGTTTCTCTCGGCTAAACGTTTGAATGGACTCTTTGAAATACTAATAATTGTTTCGAGGCCCTATCGATGAAATGATCGATTTGTAATCAGCATAATAATCTGTCAAGGGATTATTTTTGAAAGAGTCAGCTCACACTCTAGTCGTTCATCCGTTTATCTCTTATTAACGTTTCATTGATGAACAACTTAACGAGTGAAAGAATGGACCACAAAGTGGTTTCTTCAATAGTCTGCTAGGCCATTCACTGCTATGAACCACTCCTCTACCTGGATTACCTTTTCGCTCGTTAACTAATATCAGCATGAACCGCAACACGTTTGTAACATCCTCCCAATCGTCATAAAATAGTTATTTCGTTCCACACTGAAACAGTCGAATTATCATTTGCACAGACACTATAATAATCATCTCACTGCTGTGAAGCATTTTTTTCAGTCTTTATGAGTGTATGAAATGCAGATTGGTATTTGTGTTGAAGTCTTCAATATTTTGTCAAAGCCATTCATAACCAGAAAGTTGTTTTTAAAAAATTAAATTGCTTGCGATTCATTGAGTTTGCTTTACCTTGTGAAAACTACGTTCACATTCCCATAGCATGAGAAGATCATAATTATGAAAAATGTCGGTGGTTGCTAACGAGAACGCAGAAATCAGGCCGTAACGTGCAAATAGCGTTGTGATATTGTTGCGAAAAAGCTAACGTAAATCCTATGATCCTTTCGAACAAATTATTGGCTATTCACATGTTTCTTCATTGATTCGCGGATAACGATGTATCGCTTGCTTCGTACTGATCACTTTAACACTGAACAACTGTCTTTGTGGTGGTTTTGTTTGAGACTTGTTGAACTCAGCGCAAAAAGATTCGCTTAATACGTTATAATGAAAGCTTAGTTCCGCATTGCTTACCTACATTTATGAATGATTCACAAAAATGAACACAGATTGTATTCTTTTTTGACTATGATCAATCTCGATATTTCCCACCACAACTATTGATAGTTCTCTCATCAATCGATTTCAAGAGCAATTTTTGATTTCAGTCGATAGTCAAGCTCGTGAGCTGAATTCCCTTAAGTGTGCAGTGCTCAGTTATGCATATGAAAATGAAGTGACATTTGCGAACAATATGGGCTTGCCTTGTCATGAAATAAACAGTGCGTGAATTCATCCGAATGCAGTTATGCCTTGAATGACAACCGTAAATTTCCTACTTCGTTCCAAATACAAATTACCTCCATTTCAGAAAAGGTTTTGGTTTTGAGAAAAAATATCACAGATAGTGAGACTTTTGACGAGTTTTGGGCTTGAAAATATCCAGTGAAATGGCACTACACTGTGTCATTATGAATGTTCAAAAACTATATTTGTGCAATGAACGCTATGCTGCTTACTTCCTTATAGTATGCTTCAATTCATTTCGTTTCTGGAACACATTCCAGGACATATATCTTGCTCCATTCACTTATTCCATTGATTCATGTAATCATAGTTCTGTCGTCTCAGTGTAAATTTCTATGAGTATTGATTAAGGCAGCTATCTATGGACACGCACCAATAATAGAGATTTCGCTATTCTTGATTCATGCAACACCATATATTTTTCTGGTGGTTCAAGAAATCGGTGCTGGGGATGAATTGAAAGATTGCACGCGATTTTGAATAATAAACATGCGCTCTCAATCATGATGGATTAGAGTAGTTGCTTAAATGTGTTCGTTTTTCGACATTCATGATGTGTCATAAATTCAATTTGTTTGAGCATCGCCTCTTCAGCAATCAAGTGACATTACATGGGATCAGTGTGTTCTTTGGGAATTAGTTAAAGAAGCTCAAATGATGCAGTTAAATGATGGTGGATTATTAGATAGTTCATATCTTAAATGAAATTGTTCGTATGGAAGTGATTAGATTGATTGAGTCAACTGTGATGCATTTGCTGTATTTTTTGTTGTGTTGAACGGATATCGATGCGATGGTCTCTCCACATAATAACATCAATGAATGTCTCATCACTGATTTATAGCTCTAAACTAGGCAACTTTTTGTTCGATTCGAAAATGAGACTATGATGAATGACGACTATAAACTATAAACTAAAATTATACTATAAACACTTTGATGAAGTTTCTCAAATCCTCCTAAAATTCGATGATGAATATTGGGAGGAATTGAGTTGCCAAGTTGAAAATACTGATCGAGGATGAATTGAAACATTGAAAAAAACTTCTCGTTGAATGTTGTCAGTGAGCATAATCATCACTCAACGTTTTTGATTATGACATCGAGTAAGAAAACATGTAGCCGTATGATTTGTATGGAGTGTTTCTCACCTGTGACTAGAGCAACCTAACAAGACACTAAATAACGACTGAAATAGTAAACGTTATGTGAGTATGATGAAAATCAAAGAACGCAGCTGTTGTTATCAGTGAAGATATCAAACGATGAATACATGAGCAATCACCACAAAGCATTCAATCCTTTCATTGTGCCCCATTTCAGTTCATCTCTGAACATTTATCCGCTTCATATACGCATGCTTAATTACTTTCTTATCTCATATACCTTCTAATACCTTTGATATCTGGTGAGTTCATCATTTCATTCTCATTTTAAGCGAATTTTTTGATCCGTTATCATCTTGAGAAATATTTCAAAAAAACAAAAACGCTTTCAATAGCTGAAGAAGTTAAAAATGTTAGAATGAAAATCCGAAAAATCCCTCGTTTTCGCAACATTCTCTCAATGTATAACGTACTTCTTTAAATTACATCTTGCATCTAGGAGCACATTTTAGTGATTGTTGACTGGATCGTGTTTTCTTTTTCAAATAAGTATGACCAGTTGGGTTGTCCTTCGTTTCCAATCGTTGCAATTTTAATTGAATCTAGGCAAATTAGTTACTTGCTGGTTTAATTCGTAACATTCGGATGACGACAGTGGTTTCGTGTTTTTGGACTGTTGCATTGCCTAACTGTAACTGTGAAACAATACGTCGTGTTATAAAATCAGCAAACAATGCTGTTATGTTCCCCTGACATGTATGAAACCTTCAACGAAAAAAAAGCTGCATTGTCATAGTCCATGGATTATAAGAGTTTCTATAGAGAGTTGAAAGCGGACATCGATTAAAGTTTCATCATCATTATTCCACATGACTTGCTTAACTTGTCGGTAATCTTCGAATTTTTCCTTCAGTGCTACGCAGCAGTGAATTTCCTCTTCATCAGTGCTACATAGCTCCGCTTGTAATTTTGAATTGCTGACGCTAGTTCAAAGGTTTTTAGGGAATTTCTGGTGGTGTTGGGATCAGTAAATAAGCGTTCTTGTAAATGACACAGATCAGCAGGTAAACCGAATATCTGCATGAAAAAGAAATAACAAAGTGATAAATCGAAAAAATTAATGGAGAAGAGAACATGTTATTGACGGCAACTTATCACATATGTTGAAGTAATAATGTGCCACTGATTAAGAACACTATGAGCCGCAAGACTGCTTCAAAGTTTTCTTGGTCATTTCAGTTGGAATTAGGCTGACGTATGCAGTTTAATAAAAAGAGTTTTTTTGTCAATAAACGTTCGAATGAGACCTTAAAGGGCACTCTCCACGACCAAGAATCATACGGAATGCTTATAGTCAAGCAAATTGTGCAAGAATTGAAATTTTTTCGCGTTGTAATACATAAAAATTGCCATAATGTATACTTTTGGAGTGTGGAATTGTTGTTGAAAAACGTATCACATGATGTGTCAGATATTTAACTAACACTTATCTGAATTTCAGTGCTTGTTCCGACTGATCTGCGAACATATCACTCGGTGATGTGTTCATCTGTACTGTCCATCTGTTATTGATTGATTGATTTCGGATTGTTTTGGCAGAAATTTCACATTTTTTGTCTTCAACAACATCGTTTTCATCAGATTCTGGGACCGAAAGCATAATTTGCCTCCCTCTTTATCATAGTTTCTATGGAGATTTGAAAGCTGATATCGGTTACAGTTCCATCATCGTGATCATTATTTCACACGACTTTCTTAAATTGTCGATAACCTCCGAATGCTAGCAGTCAATCTCCTGTTCATCAGTGCTACACAGCTCCGTTTGTAATTTTGACTTGCGTACGATAGTTCGAAGGTTCTTAATGAATCTCTGGCGGTGTTGAAATCAGTAAATGAGCGTTCTTGTAAATGGCAGTGATCAGTAGGTAAACCGAATATCTGCGAGAAAAAGAGAACAAAGCGATAAATCGAAAAAAATCGGTGGAGAAGAGAAAGGTTAATTAGTGTTTAAGAGCAAATTAGCGTTTATGAGCCCTCATAAGGCGCTTGCTGGATGTCCAATAACTACCATAATCTATTTATTAACGAGGCATTTCATAATTCTTATCATTCATTATTTGAGAACTGAACGGCTGACATACCAATGAATAATTTATAAGAACAATAAGCACTGGTGTCGTCGAGCACTTCGCTCGTCTTCAGTCTTCTTCTTCGTCTCGATGGAACATTATTTTGCGTATTTAGAACGATTGAAGTCTAAAATGTGTACTTTTTGTGTAATACATGGCTTGTTGATTCCGATCTGTCAGGCTACTGTGCTCATTTGATAGTACAGTCTACACCAGACTCCATTGGCATAATTCATCGCTCGATTCAAGCCATAAATCCGTTTCTCTACTCTTAGAAAAACATACGCTCTGATTGCTGACAAGCATCCTGTTACGTACAAAATCGCTCAATGACAAATGCTGCTAATGAAACATTCTTCACCACCGATGCACAGCCATCTAGTACGAATGACAGGCGAATAGCGTAATTTGACAGCAACAAAAATAGTCGTCGGGGACTGGACTCCTTCCCATCGGCGACCCCGTTCCCCGACAATTCTCCGATAATTTTCCTTTTCGACTTTTTCGTCGGGGTCCTGTCGCCCACATGGCTTCTCGACGGCATCCCATCTCCAGGCCAAAAAGTTGCTCCTCGATGAACAGCACCCATTTCTTATCAATCGACGATTCTATTTACATTGATCAGAGTACTGCATATAAACGTAAGCGTTGTATGTTATCTTGTTTACGTAATATTCGCGATTCTCTTAACTCACATCTACATTCACAAAAAATAAAATAAAATTTCAAATGACAACTGATTTGAATGTTTATGATGAGGATATTAATGAGGATGATGAAAATGAACGCAATTCCTTTGAGCAAAACAACAAGACATCAGCTGGCAACAACAGTCACACACACCTCGAAAAAGCATATGTTCAATTTGTCATTAGTAGAGTCATCACTGCCGCAGTTGTGAAACCACACTCGAATAATGGCTGTTCATTAGTTTATGAAGCTAAGTTCCAGTTGAAAGTTGGCTTCATGTTGTTGAAAGTTAACTTACCAGTGGCCCAGAAATTATTTCTGGGCCACTGGTAAGTTAACTTTCAGATTTCTTTTTCCATTCAACAATGTGCATAGGTTCATTTTCCATTAAATTTCATGAATGGTAAGCAGTTTAATGCATCACGTGAATTGTTTGTTGGTTAAAATTTTTGAAAGGGCATTGTTTTACAAGATGTAACTGCAATTATTTCTAGTCAATCAATGCTTCAAGTCCTACATATTTAAGGAATGCAGCTAGCACTCGAAAATGGACGTTGATAATAGGTTGAATCAGTTTTGTGCATTCATCCTAAACAACAGCGAATGTCGCCCTTGTTTTAGCGTTTTGTTAAGTCGTTTCAATGATTTATCGATATGATCACAAATCTTTGAGAGCATCTAGCGATGACTTTTACAAATTCTGCGTTATCCTTTTCGAATGGTGTTGCTTCAAACTATCATATTTAATGCTTCTTCAAAGACGCTTTTTTTCTGAAAAATCATTTCAGCCAAGTTCTCATGACAATTGCTCAAAATTTGAATGTATGATAAGGTTTTGAAGAATATTTCATTAATGGCGAACAATAGTTGCTTTGTAAAGAAGACAATAAGCATAAATCATCGTGCATCTATTAGATTGCGCCATTAAAAAATGCTCATGAGTATTGCTTATTTCAGGAACAAATTAGGTAATGTGAGTCCTCGAACAATCCCAGAAGTTTCCTCTTCATTAAAACGACGGTGAAATATGAAACATGGCAAGCAATCGATAGAGTGAAACTTTTTTCTCGCCACTCAAAGTTTCACTGAATTCACTCCATCGAATATTCATTTCATTCGCGTTCCAATGTCTCTTTATTTTCAAATGAATATTTATTGGCGTTAGAGGAATACTGAACGATCCAGAAGATGAGATGTCATCTGCTCATAAGATGATATCAATTTAGAAGATTGCAAATAAATTTTATCTTCACGTCATATATAAAGCGTCAAAGATCATCACTTGTGAAAAACGACTGCGTGATAGCAATAAGAAGTTCGATGAGCATACTTCTGGACTAGTTGTTCACATGAGGTCATGCATTTCCTGATCGCGGTCCCGGGATTCAGGTTCTGAAAACTCCCAGAGATTTGATAACATAAGAGGCATTCAATGTAATTTTGGTAACATGCCCGTCGTTAATCAGTATATCATTTATTCATTGTCCGTTGATATCCAACAGTATTAAGTCATGTTGATGCTTTGTTTCCTTATTTTAAAGTGTCACCATCTGTATGGTTCATTATATAAATTGCTTTTCAAGTAATTTGAATAATGCACTGATTCAAAAAGAATGTGTTGAACACGGGACACTTCGATATTTCTGATGTTGCTGAAGATTATACCGGGATTGAAAAATGATCCCGAGATATAATCCACATTCGCAAATTGGTCACGATTTTGCAAATACTATCCTGATCCGTTGAAAGCGCAAAAGACCTTTTTTATGGGTTTTTATAAATATGATTTTAGAGTGATTGCATAAAATGAAATTCACTTCACTGAGAGGATTCCACTACTTTGGTGATAGACATAACTGTTTAGTTGATTAATATACCAAAATTCTCGTTCGCAAACAGAATCGTTAGTTCCGAGAGCTTGCTACTCCGATATACTGTCTCCTCCAAATCACGCCAGATATTATATTTAAATGCTGACTTCGATATACTCCACCAGATGACATCGGATTCATTTCACTAATAAAACTGGATAACCATTTACCCAGAGGAAGTGAAGAAATCAAATGAAAAAATTTGCCTCACTCACCCAATTTCATCCATCTCGTTTCATTGATTTAGGCACCATACGACTTAACCGCTTTTTATCGTTCTCACTGTATGTAAAAAATAGTTTGCCACTCCATTTCTCTCTTCTTTTAAATTCTTCTCCCCTCTTCAGCAGCAGTTGGGGTATTATATTAGCCATATTGTTACCATTTGCAACGAACTATACTGCACATATTATCATGCGAATGAAATTTTATTATTATTTCAACTGACATTCCACTAACTGTGAGATCAAAGCGAAAGAGAGTTTGGTATTCAAGAAAATAGATTCACGCGAAACAACAAGCAAAGTTCATCGTAGGAAATTCACTAAGAAGGAGAGTAACCGCAGAACCATTCTTGTGCGTCATCGATTGATTGATCAGCTACAGTCAAATCAGGTGGAAAAAGTGTCCAGAAATGTTCAATTTTTTCGACTCCATCCCATTCGGGCGTTCGATATGACCATCTCAGAAAATACTCTTACCGATAGCCTTCAGGCATTTGCAATTAATGGAATGCATTAGGAAAAATTATATTCGAAAAGTCTCATTGCTGCATGTTAAAGGTCTTTGTTAAGTAAACCAAATGGACTCACTGAAAACTTTATTATAAATTCCAATTGTCACGTCATTCCACATCGATACTTTCTTTCTCGGAAACTTTTTAGTCATTCGATTTACGAGCGTTAGGTTCTCCAAAATAACGTCTCTGTGCATATTGCTCACCATTTGAATTGATTTTCGACATCATAAATCAGTATTCGATTTCTTAGTGAGTTCGTTATGTTTATTTCTCGATAAATAGGTTTTCGAGCAGTGAAATACAATAGAATTCGAGTGCATACTATAAGATAGCTGTTACGTATCGCTTAGAGAAATGAATTGTAAGCGTGTTAAAAAGTTTTTGACAATCTAGCAGCACCTGTTTGCTCGATTGAAATTTGCAGCTCGTGTGCGGTTATGATGATAGAATGAACGTTTAGAATGAAAAGTTAAACTCAAGTCATGAACTTATGCATTTCGTCACAAAATATTTATGACCATCCGGAATATCTACGCATGCCAAATCTCTTTTGAAACAATTCTGCAACGAAGAATTTTGCGAGCAACAATTTCTTTGTGGGATTAGGTAGTAATAATCCTTGTGGAAATCTCACAAATTTCAAAAACTATAGGTGACCAAAAATTTCATTATGCATTCATAATATTCGAGAGGAGAGTCCCTTAGAACTATAAGGAGTTGTGCAATTTTCAATCGTCTGCTTCTTATCAGCACTTCGGTCGGATTATAACAACGAAAGATATAATGATAACGAATGAGAGCAGTATTCATTCAGTGCAAAAAGTTAAACGTTTCTCACCTAATTCTTCAAACATCATTCTGGACGGAACTCTCTCGGACTTGATGCTTCTCATTATTTTCATCAGCAGCTGTTCATTTCTCTGACAAACGATTTTAGCGTTTCAACTTTCCTTGACACTGAATCTTCACCAAATCCATAAATGATTTCTTGAACGCAATATATCCCATCTCAAATTACAAATACTAACTTTAGCTATGTTCTCAAACGTCGAAAATTTGAAAGTTTACCCTCTGATTGTGAGAGGATGACTTTCATGTGAAGTGAAGGATTACACTGGGGATGGAATTCTTCAATTATAATCCTCTGAAAATTTGAAATCGAGCATACGAATAAGTTGAAGGTCCGTAACATCTGAATTGAGAAAAAAGATTTCAGATACAAAATCAGCAAGATGGGTCAAAAAAATTCTACAAGTACTAGTGAAATTAGCGTAATAGACGGCGATGATGGTTCCTCATCAAAAACTGAAGGTAACGAAAATTTCACTTGACATTCAACCTCATCACGAAGCATTCAGTCATGAGTCAACGAGGTTGTTCATATGTCATTCAAGATTCAACGAAGATATTCTAATCTATTCAGATGTCTCATCTCGCACAATCGATGACGATTCACAACGTGAGAAATGTCCTGCTCTTTGTCCAGCGTATCGGTAAGCAAATTCGTTTAATATCTCGGAGTGGACGTATCAAAAATCTATTCTGATATTCTTTCTTCACAGAACACCTTTTACAGCATTGAGAATGAATTGTTGAACTGATACTTGCACAACTAAAAGTTGCAGAGAAATAGTCTTGGAATGCTATGATAAGGCTCACGGTGATACGGCGGGTAGAATTGTGATGCGAATGGCACAACAACGAGATGACTTCAGGTGAATTTGATGACATGTTCGGGTTTGTTGTATCACTGACAGCCGATGAATGAGTATTGTTAGATGCATTCTGTTCGAAGAGAGTGTTCCGATCACATTCTTGTTGAATGTGATGATGCGTAGAAATAATTAATTACTTTTGCCTCATACAACTTCATAGCTTGGCGAGTTCTGCACTTCACCATATAACAACGCTTTAATAATGTGCTTATTGAGCGATATTCAGAGCGTTTATGGATTCGTTGACGGCTACACAACGGGAAATCTTAATTGAGAAGTTGAGAAATTATTTGAATGACGTCGTTCAAAACATTGATAATGCTGATGAGGTAATCTCTTCGTGATTACTTTTGACCACAAAACACTGATCATTGATGACGTGCTTTTTGTTGGCAGAATGTTCCCGGCTTTCAACAGAAAATTATTAAAAAGTTGTTGAGCGCTCAGAATCACTTAAGACACCAAAGATTTCCGAGCAAAATGAATTGGAAACTTTTTGCTGGAATTTACTGATGCATTCAGTCAGAGGAGCATGTTAAAGTGCATTGCAAATGCATACTCTGAGATGCTTGCAGGTGAAAGAATTATCGACATGTTATGGGTCGTTTTTTGTGAAATGGAAAACGATTGGCTTCAAACCAGATTTCTTTGCTGTTTCTGCGTCTGCAATTGCCACTGAATGCGTTTTCTTGGGTGGAACGGCAACTGCAACAGCACCAACCAGCACGTTTAGGGTACGTTCCTGAAGAGAAGTATGGTTTAGAGCCATTGCAAGTGACTTTTGAACTTTTCCCGATTGCAATCGTATTTATATCGCAACTCTCATTCTGAGTACGATCCTTTGGTAAACAGGATTGGACTCTACACTCGGATTTTACTTGACCAATTATATAACAAATTAAAATCGAGGACAAAAACTAACGCATCATTGGAAATGCTCCTTTATCTGATAGACAAGAGGAAGGCAGCTGACAGATACAATTCTTTTAGTTCTCACATTTAGTCTGATTGTGAATGCACTGAATCTGCGAACTTATAACTCGAGAAAAAATCTGCGAAAGACATGATGAGGAAAAATCTGATAAGTTGTCAGGAATGAGTTGATTTGTAAAATGTAAGTGTCAGTTAGTGCAATGTTAGACAGATGAATGTTAAGCGATAGCACATAACTGCTCTAGCAAAGAAATCCTGATTCCCGCAATTCTTTCATGTTCGTGCGCATTCCAATTTCGAATATTTCATATATTTTGAAGGAAGCATCTGGGCCAGACGGATACTGATTGTTGCATAGCTTGATGCGTTTGTTTTTTGGTTTGTAGTCGAATTTCAAATTTTTTTCTAACGACGGGACCAATTTGATAGCATGATAGGATCGAGTGACACTGACATACCTCCATTTTCCCCTAATCATCACCGTCAAAAGCTGTTAACTCTTTGCGTGGACAATCTTCTGCCACCCCAAATCTTCTACGTTTTGCACGGGAACCGCCAAAAAGCCACATTTCCAACCCCAATTACCACAAGTTTTATCGTGCCACTTTGACTGAGGGAACAGAACAGAACAGTTTAGAATAGAATAGAATAGAATAGAATAGTTTAAACGATAGAATAGAATAGAACGATCTCAAGCAAGGAAATTACAGAACA